TCTCAAACAGTTCGTAGACTATATTTATTATGGTAAAAAAAATACTATTACAGGTTGGAGGTGGAGAAGGTGGTTATGATATGAATGTATTGCCTGTTTGGAAGCAAGGCATTTCAGGAAAAGGAGTTGTTGTTACTATTTTAGATGATGGAATACAAACAAATCATCCTGATTTAGTACAAAATTATGTAAGTACTACCATTATGTCAATTTTAATGCTTAGTTGTAAGTAGGATATTGTTTAGAACTCTAATATATCAGAATATATTGAGTCTGGGTGTATGTTATTCAATTTAAGGACTGTACAATTCTACTTAGAACAAAATGATGATTTTAATAACAACTATGGATCAGTGCCAACTATCAGTATGGCTTACAAGGTACAAATGTGCTACAGTTTAGTGATGACACGATGTAGTTCTAATGACAAACATTAAATTCTAAACTTATTACTAAAATACTAAACTANACATCATTAATAGAAATAATTTTTATGGCCGTTGAATAAGAAATGTTTTTTTCACAAGAAATGTATAAAATTACAGTACTGTATTAGACTTGCAGTACCTAATTTATATATTGTACAGATGATAGTAAACTCAACTTACCTGCCTAAACTCTCTGTAGCATGTAAGTAGTTCGGCTGCTCGTCCACTATTGGTCCAGATTTGACCAATACTGTTGCAACACAAGTCGCGATGGCATTTTACCGCATTTTACGAGTTTCTTTTAGCGTCTTTATACGAATACGGTCGCAATTTTTTTGCCGTGATATACGAATCCGCATTATATGAACCCACGTTATAGGGGTCAACTGTATATATTTTTCTTTTCTGAACAAGTGGCTGAAGTAGCTAGCTAAATCTCACACTTTTTAGTTAGACTAACTCTTCTGGAAGGGTGAAATTGAAGTGCAAATGCTGTCGAATATATGTAGATGTAGAATTTTATTGCCCCTTTCTCCTCTTATTAAATATTTGTTAAAAATTAATTTTTTTATACAAGTAAATATTAATGTAAGTTAAATATTAAAAATACTAACTATAAAAGTATTTGGGGCTCCTTTCAGAGTAGGGTATCCCCTATGAGCGCCTCCGCCCCCATAAAATGACTTTGTATTTAATTTTGCCGAAGTAGGGAGTCGGAGTCAAATGTGTTTTTTTTTACCGACTCCGCAGCCCTGATTACAATAATATCTAACGTGGACAAAAACATAATATTCAGTAAGCAGTTAAACTTTTCGACAGAAAATACGTAAAAGTATTTATAATATGCAAACAGAAATTTAGTTGTTTAAACTTCCTGACGCCATATTTTACACTTTCTTAAGGACACCTTACATGCCAGCAAATGCAGTCTCAGAAAAATGTTCTTTTAACATTATTATTTTTAACATTTTATGTTGATTATTATTGTATTAATAAACTTCATATTACCTTTAATTATAATAATTTTTACTATTTAGCCAACAATAGTCTTTAATAATAGCTAAGAAAATATTACTATTACCTTAATACCACAGTGAAAATATTTGAATTAATCTTATCAGACAATTCTGGAAAGTTTCCTAAGAATGATCCATTTGTTGATCAAATACAGGAAAAACTGTATAAATATTCATTTAACGTATTGTTTTTGTTGATGATTAACTTTAAATTACTAGCCTATATTATATACTCACGTTTTTGAATCGACCCACAAATTAATAATTTAATATAATGAAGAATGATATGGAATGACTATGTGATAAAAGAAATGTATAAAATATAGTAAAAATAAAATATTTTAGACAATAAAATAAAAATATAAATGATAAATTTCTTTAACATGTAGGAAAAACAAGTGTTCAATAATAATCAAGGAAATGTTACATTTACTACCTTAATATCATGGGAATCGAAACAATCACATCGGGCCATTAACAGAATTTTCCTAATCCTAGAATAATCAGTCTGTTGATAAAACAGAGAGGGAAAAACATTACTGTAAAGGCAACAATATTTTAAAATTAAAACAAATATCTCTTTGCAAAAGAAAATTTTCAATAATTATTTTTACATCAAGGATTATTAATATTTTCTCGCTACAAATACTAATGTGAAAAACAAAATATATAGAAAATAAAGATGTTTCTTTCCGAATCATCGTCTACTTTAATGTGTCCACTGAATCAAATTTTTAAAAACTCAAATTATATTTATATCCTAAATTATAAAAGCATATTTTCAAAAATTAACAAACAATTATATACAAATGTTATGCTATATTATTACAATAAATACATTGTTCACTATATCTTTTCGAACTTTAATTAAACAGTAATAATTTCATATTTTTTAGGGCTTAGCATTATTTGTTAAAATTATTGTTGGTTTAAAAAAAATNCTGGAAGATGTAAGGAAAGTGTGATATTTATTAATGTTAGGATAAGTTTCAGCTTTAAACAAAACTTTGCTTATAACAGAATATAACTCCAAAAATAAAATTAGCATTAATGTCTTACTTATAATCTTTTTCTAAAAAACTATTTTAGTTTCTTACCATTCAATTCAGCCTTAAATTTCTTGTTTAATCCAACAATTATACAATTTTTATATATATAACATATAACAACTGTATGATTAAGCACAAAAAAATTTAAAAAACCAGCAGAAAAATGTTAATAATTAAAAAAAAATTTTTTTTAGTTTTTTTTTGTGGTTAATTTACTTATATCCAGTTATTTGTGGTGTTGAAGTGGTTAAAAAATATATATATTTTAACTGAAACAATACAAATATAGTATTTTATATAAGTGTATTTAAAAAGATATAAAATTTTAATATTAATCAATATTTTCTAGCTGAAACTAATATTCCAAAAAAAGATTCAACAGCATCATCATCATCAAACTCTTCTACTATTATTATAATTGTTGTAGTAATCATGTTTATTGCATTTTTTATAATTTGTATCATCTTGCTACTTTGGATGAAGGTATGCATTTTTTTAAATAATTTTAATTAATTATTACAAATTTGTATACAAACATTTCATATTTTATCAAATATAGATCATCTCTGAATCTTAATACTGTACAGTATATCTTAAATTTTTAAAATCAGATAGGGACAAATTTTATTTTTTTATAAAAACATAATATTTAATAAAATAATGCTATTAGCCTGCACAACTGCCTGGTTCTGAAAACGGGATTCTGTGAATCATATTTTCTACTATTAAATGCAACATATCTCTACCGATTTGTGCCACATAAAGTATTATTCAGTCCTTCAAAGTTACAGAAGTCAACATGTTCTTGGTAAACCAAGTTTTTTAGATGATGATATGCTGCATTCTGCATTGGAAAATATGGTTCTTAGAATCCAGTTTTTGGACATGTGCAAGGACAATATGTTGAATTGTATTTATAATTGAGTCAGAATAAAAACTATTGTCAGCTGTTACCTTTTTGTTTTCTTTTACTATGTCTTATATATTCCATGCACAGTGCCATTATTCTGTGAGATCCGAATAGACCCTGGGATTAATTAATAATTTAATTTAAGGTAAAAGTATGAAGAAAAATATTCTTTAATTTTTGGTGTGAAAATATCGTTTTTCTAACGTGGGAAATGGATAAAAAGTCACTTCCTTTAACGGAAGTTGAAACATCCTTCTGTTTTACACTTATCTACCCAAAATCTCAACACTCTGGGAATTGTCGACCCCTTGATAAATCCCCTCTTCCTCTATTCACGTGAGAAAATCCTAAAAGCTAATTGGATGAAAATCAGGAGATATATTCAGAGTTTTGCATGATTCGGGGAGTACGTCAGGAGATCTCATAGAGGAAGGAGGTATCCCATATTTGCTCCTTAAGGCCAACGCCCTTAGTTAGGAGGACGCATGAAGATCTCATAGAAGAGAGACGTATTCCATACTTATACCTAAAGCCAACACCTTAGTCGTATCCCGCATGAATGCAATAATGAGTTAAGTTAATAAGAGAAGAAGGAAATTTAAAATGATGTGCTATTCAAGACCTACCAATGTAGAGACTGAAGTATAATCATATAATACAGAAGAAGATAAAGTAATTGGAGGTAGTATGATTATCTATAGAATTTGTGAGCTCTCTCTCTCAATCGCATAATCTCTCATTCGCTTAATTTTAATTATTGAATTATTCCATTTTTGTGTAATTTTGTTTACTTTTGGTTTTATTAAATTCTTGTTTTTATTTGTTAAGAAATGTCTCTCAAGTGTCTGAATCAAATCCGTGTTATAATCTTCACACGCGTGTTAATCCGCGTATCTAAATTCGATTAACTGGTGTCAAGGATCCTGAAGTAGATCTAGACTTCACAGTCCAGATCCTTTTTAACATTAACACTCTCCTATAAAAAGTATAGAGACTGAATCTCATGATTCAGAATCGTGTAAGTGGTACCCATTCTTAGGATTGTACCCCCAATTAGTCTCAATTCCTCTAATGGCAAAAATCTGAGGTAAAAACTTTTATTACAGAAATTGAAATCCTATGCTTTACGTTTCTAAATTTGACATTTATAACACTAGTAAGTTCTTTATTGAGTTCCAGCATTGAATGATCCGACATCATGTTTTGTAGAAAAAAGAAAGAAACATTTGCATTGAGAGGGTGCTTTTCATGATGGCTGACTTAAGTAAGGAGAAGGCGACAATTATGGATGTTTTGCTAAATAACTAAAGTAACTCACTTAAACATTATTCGAATAAACCCCTTTATTTGAATGAACTCTTACCTATATCAAATTCTTCTATACTGAGTCTTTTTACAATAATTTGAATTTATTGAATATTTATATATATATTGAATATTTTGGACAAATTCATGGAGGTAGTTTGTCTCTGAAAAAAAAAGTATAATATTTCAATATTGACCAAATTATTTAACATAATCATGCAATCATGTTTTATTTTATATAGACCATTGTGGCTTTGTTAAGCCATGTTTCTTCTGTCTTTCCTTTCTCTTCATTACTTGTGACCACGTCTTATGGAAAAACCCCACTTCCGGCCTTTGTTTACTTAACTACGATGTGGTTGGTTAAACCATGTGTCCGATCTGTGTTAGACAATAGGGACTGACGCTTGATTGGTCAAGGGGGTGACGGACAAGGTGGACAAAAAGGAGGTCCGAACAGGAAGAGAATCAGTTCAGGAC